GTGGGCATGCTTTCCTTTCCAAAGCTGCTTATCCCAGTGCATTATTTTTGACTGAAAAGTTTGTTTTTCTTTCTTTCTATCTGAATGGATTGCTTGCCTGTGGTGACTTATGGCTTACTTCATCAATTTTCAGTAATGAGATAGAGCAGTATGAGGTAAATGTCTGTGTACATGGGCAAGGATTCTAAATCACATTCTGAAAACCACGGGCTTGATGCTGTGAGTCCATCTCCTCAGAAATGCTTGTGGTGAACATTCTTTGAGAATGCTTGGGCTTAAAGCACATCATTTTAATGACAGAGTTAGAAAAATAGCGTTACAGTCATTACAGTCAGAGAGCCAAATTGGCTTATTCAGGCTCACACTCTCTAAGGGCAGTAGAGAAAAATTCACCAGGCAGTGCATCTGATGGGTATAGTCTCAGTGGATGAAGGAAGCAGAGAGACCCTCTGGTACTTTTAAATGCATTGATTTCTCTACGGAGTAGTATTCAAACATGTAACTGATAACAGCTTTTTGGTAATGGACAGACTCCATACAGTAACTGAGATGGATCCCTGTAGCTGAAGAACTGCTAGGAATGTTCAGATGTCTCAGGCAAGGAAGGCACTGGAAACAAATGCAAAGGAATCCTACAATAATTCATTCATCTGATTTCTTCCTTTCTTTGTTTTCTTTCTTTTTTTTTTTTTTTTTTTAGTCTTTATTGTTGAAAGTATTGCAGATGTCCCCCTTTTCCCCCATTGACCTTTTCTAGCTGCCTCCCTACCCTATTATCTGTGTCCTTGGGTTATGCATATATGCATACAAGTTCTTTAGTTAATCTCTGCCTATCCACCCACCCTCCTCGACCTTCCTTATGAGATTTGTCAGTCTGTTCCATGCTTCTATGTCTCTGGATCTATTATGTTCATCAGTTTATTTTGTTCATTAGATTCCACATATGACTGAGATCATGTGATACATTCATCTAATTTCATATCCACTCACTGTCCCACAGTGCCTAAATACTTTTGGCATTCACTCTTGATCTTGGTAATAAGGAGAAGGAATTATGCACTATTAAAAAGTAAGATATGTGTGGAATGAATGGGGAATCCCTTGAAGATTGTGTTTACTAGTACTGCTATTTTATTGCTTTTGGATCTTTTTCACATATTGTTTAACTCCTTCAGTCAAATTCATTCTTCATTGAGCACAGATACAGCCGTAGATTGGTTTCTGGCAAGAACTGCATTGGAAGTTTTATGAACTGATAGCAAAATGTTTTTGGTACAGTGCCACATGCTAAGTAACGATAGCTAAGATATATAGGAAGGCCTCAAGCTCACACCATTTATCCAAATGTGTTATCTGACTTTCTGCATAAGAGAAATTACACACACACACACACACACACACACACACACACACACACACCCTGCACAAATACCATGTATGTTATATTTGTGTGTCATATCTATTTAATGCTATATATCTTTATCTATCTATCTATCATCTATCTATCTATCTATCTATCTATCTATCTATCTATCTATCTATCATCTATCTATCTATCTATCTCTATCTATCCATCCATCCACCCATCCATCCATCCATCCATCCATCCATCTGTCTTGTATATCTTTCCTAGATTACATATACATTTATTAAAGGTTACATAGTACTTTGTTCTCTCACTATAAAAGAGTTTAGACAGAGTTTTATTTCTTCTTGATCATCTCCCCTTAAATTAATCCCCTTATCCTCACATAGAGAACTCCTCTAGGACTTCCCTTATGATACCTATAAGTCTCCCTGCCTTCTTCCCATATGTTCTCCCCACAATTTTCCTTCATTCCATGTTCTTCATCACTGTTGTTTTGTTATTGCCCCGCAGAGTGACATCTTCTTGTTTATTCTGTCTACCATGTCTAACAGTAACTTTAAAATAATCAAAATCTTCAAAAGTACTCTTTATGTTCATTTTATGAAAATGCAATATAAGTAAAATGTGTTACACCATAGTATAAATCATTGGAAATCTTGCTTCCCAAGGGCAAGATATGGGTAATCAAGTCTTTAAAATTTCATATAAATAATGATTCAAATTATCACTTAAGGTGTTGTTTTTCCATTTTGGTGCATTTTTGGTTCTTGCCTGAATTTGGCCAATTAAGCAGGAATGTAAAAATTACAAACTAATTAATGATGACACGACCTGATATATAGACTATAGATTTGGTACAATTACATATAATTGAGGATACTGAAGATAATCTAATAAAATAAAATAAAATAAAAACCCTATTTTGGATAAACCATTATATATATGGATAAATTATATGTCTATTGAATTTTCCCTAAAGTATAAACAGAATTGTATTGTTTAGTGCATTCAGAGAAAAAAAGGAAAACATATTTTTGGTGTTTTGTTTTGTTTTGTTAGGATTTCTATTTATTTCTTTTCTTTTATTATTGTCATTTTTTAAATTCTCACCTGAGAATATTTTTCCATTGATTTTTAGAGAGGGGGAAAGACAGATAGAAATATCGATGTGAAAGAAGCACATTGATGGTTGTCTCCTGCATGAGCCCAGACCATAGCTAGGAAGGAGTCTACAACCGAGGTGTGTGCCCATGATCAGAATCGAACTTGGGACCCTTCGGTTCCCAGCTGATGGCTATATTCATTGAGCCAAACAGGCAAGCGGCAGAAAATTACTTTAATGAAAATCACTCATGTGTAAAAAAGAAAAGGATATGAATGGGATTTGGGTACATCTCCATATTTGTGGAAATTAATCCTAAACTTAACATGACTCAGTAAAAAAAAATCTAAGTTTCTGACAGGGAGAGTTATGTGCATAAAGAAAAGATGCACAAGGAATTAAACTGTAGAAAAATGTTCAAGAAGAACAAATGCTAAAGTGACTGCAAAGTATCCTAGGATATTTTTTGCATTCTGATAAATCCCTATGTATATTTCTTGGAGGGAAATGGTACAATTGACCACTTCATTTCTACATGTAACACAAAATAATAAAAACCACCAACCTGCTAAGAACTCAAAGGCACATGGTGTATGTGTGTGTCATGCTGAGTTGATGGTTTAGAAATGCCAACTCTGTAGAATGGCTGGGGCTGAATAATGCTTCTAGGTAATCCTACTTAAGATTCACTTGTGCATCTCTGGGTAACCTTCACATTTAAAAATATATATTTATTTAAATCTTTATTGTTGAGATTATTACAGATGTCCCTCTCCCCTCCTACCTCCAACCATTGCTTTCCTCTGCCCCCTTCTTGCACCACCCCAGGCCTTCACCACTCTATTGTCTATGTCCATGCATATAAGATCTTTGTTTAATATCTTCCCACCCTCTACCTCCTTCTCTCTGAGAATCTTCAGTCTGTTCCATTCCCAGGTCTTCAGAGGAGGGCAATTAGGGGCAATCAGGCTGACAGGGGGGTGCAGTTAGGCATCAATCAGGCTGGCAGGGGAGTAGTTAGGGGGTGATCAGGCTGACTGGCAGAAGCAGTTAGGAACTATCAGGAGGGCAGGCAGAAGAGCAGTTGAGAGCCAGCAGTTGGGAGCCAGCAGTCCTGGTAGGATAGGGCCTAAACAGGTGCTCGAACATTCCTTGAGGGGTCCCAGATTAGAGATGGTGCAGGTTGAGCTGAGGGACAACCTCCCCACCCCCATGCATGAATTTTGTGCACTGGGCTTCTAGTTATATATAAACATACTGAAGGACTTTTGTTTATTTAACACAGACTGATGATGAAGTTTCCATTACAGGGAATTTTCAAAGTGGCATCTATACAACTTTGAACAGAGTGAATAACAATGTGAGTGTGGCAGTGCTGTGCTAAGGGGTAGAATCAGGTGATTTTGAGTGCCCTTCTTTCCTTTGTTCTGTGCCTCAGGGGGGAACCCATCCACAGAGCTGTCACAGGTTCTTCCACAGCCAACATGGAAATTTACCCCCAAAATTATGTTTTCTAAACAGGTAATTGATAAAGTTGTATCTTTTATAAATAAATACATCATCAGAAAATCATTTCTCTTAGAAGAAACCAGAATAATACTCTTGAATCTTTTGTTGGTGTTAAATGGGCATGATGTTGAGCCTAGGGAATACATTTTCTGCCCTTTCCATAATCTGAATTATCATTGCCAAGCTGTGTTACAGTATGTTGCCTGCCTCCACTCGTAGCTCTGGATCATTAATGCATTAGCACCCACATTAAGAATTTCACAAATAATTATTGGGCTATAGCATTTCAGTGTTCTCTCTCTGTAACAGTACAATTAAAACAGTTAAGTAATTCAGGTTGTAATTGATTTGGGAAAGTACAATTGGTTACTTTATTTGGGGACAATGATGTGGGTATCTACATAAGTTTGCAGTGCTTGTGAAGATGTTAGTTCATAAAAACTGAAAACCTGAGAAGGAAATCATTTACTTCAAGTTTGACAACAAAAATTTACTCTACACCAGTCTTGATTGGTGCATTCAGTTGATTTATTTATGACTCATAGACTAGATGCTTTCTACCACTCCATTTGATAAAACATTCTAATTCTAACAGATTAAAGCATAGGAGGAAGGTTTCTTCACAGTCAGACTGAATTGTCTCATTTATTATTCAGAATACGCTGGTCCTTTTCCTTGCATGTCTTAGATGTTTGTTAAACCTCACCAGTCAATATAACTAGAACACAGGTGTTAAATTAATGGACATGTCATTTTGATGATTGATGTTGCTTTCTGTCGAACTGTGTGTGTGCATGCATGTTTTGCATTTGTCCTTAGGTGAGCAAAATGGAAGTAATGGTTGTGAGATGAATTTTCTCAGCTTTTTTTCTCTTTTGTTATGTGTATGGCCAGCTTTTTAAATGTGCTTCTGATCCTCTCTTATCACATGTTGTTTTGCAAACATATAGCTTATTTGCTGTTGTACAGTCTGGGTCTCTGTAGAGCTAATGGACTAACAGCAGTTATTGTCTCCTCCAGGTTATACAGGCTGTCTTTTTTGGCATCTGTGTGCTGACTGATCTTTCCAGTCTTCTGACTAGAGGAAGTGGGAACCAAGAACAAGAGAGGCAACTCAGGAAGCTCATCTCTCTTCGGGACTGGATACTAGCTGTGTTGGCCTTTCCTGTTGGGGTTGTGAGTATCATGTAGAATCCATTTAATCACAAAAGCAAATTGGGTCTTATTTCAGACTTCTAAGAAAAAAAAGGGGGGTTCATTATAGGAGTCTAAAATATTAGTTTGTTATAACTGCCATCACAAAGCACCTCAGATTGGGTGGCTTAAACAACAGAATTCATTTTCTCCTGGTTCTGGAAGCTAGAAGTCTGAGATCAAAGTGTTGGCAAGGTTGATTTTTCTGATCCCTCTCTCCTTGGCTTTTAAATGGCCTACTTCTCCATACATTTTCACATGTACTTCCCTCTGCTTATCAATGTCCTACTCTCCTCTTCTTATACAGACATATATTGGATTAAGGTTCCCCCACTGACCTTATTTAATTTTTAAAAAATTTTTTATTGTTTAAAGTATTACAAATAGTAGCACATATGTGTCCTTTTTCCCCCATTAACCTCCTCCCAGCCTCCCCCACCCCCTGGCACATGGCACATGCCCTGACCCACCCCACCCCCAGTGTCTGGCTGATCCCCAAAGCTAAGCAGGGTCAGGCCTGGTTAGTACTTGGATGGAAGACCTCTTTAATCTTAATTTCCTCTTGAAAGCCCTACTTCCAAATACAGTCTGAGGTAATGTGAATTTTTTTTGGGGGGTGGGGAACACACTTCCATAGTTTCTTAAGCTGCCCAGACTTCAAGTGTGTGGTCCTTGGGTCTGTGATCATTCTAGTATTTTTGAACATGAGAAAGATGAAATCATTATTAACTCATACCTCTTCAGTTATCCAGCTGTGCCATTAGCTAATATCTCCTAAATAAATGTTGCTTAATGTTTGGGTCTGCTCTGAACATGTTTGGGTCTGTTGGAAACATAGACCAAGTTTCTATAAAGGGCCAGGGACCCAAAAGATTCTATAGATGTTTTTTACCTGTGTATAACCAGGAGAAGAATGAAAGGACTCATAAACCTCAAGTCGTGAGTCAAGTAAATGTCTATTACCTAATTTATATTCAGGTCTTTCATTTGCCAGCTGATTTGTGGAAATAGCAGACACCCATGCAACCTGGGCAAGCACACGTACCACATCCAGGGTTCAGTGTAGTCAGAATCAGAAGGTTGTTTTTAAATCTTTCCAATGGCTCTTCTGCACATTTTTCAGATTGATACAAATAGTTGGTGGAAGCCTCTACATGCTGTTCTAAGACCCATTAGTAAGCTCCCAGACTGTCACTGACTTACTTTTTGATGTACTGAGTTATATGTTCTTGTATAAAATATCCTGTAGCCCTTGACAACAACACAAGGAGTGTGTTATAATCTGGTCACAGTCTTTCTCATTCCCTCATCCTTATCCCCTGTAAACCTAAGTAGGTGCTTAGATTGGTGCTATCAAGCAAATCTCTCAACTTCTGTTGCTTAGCAGATTTCAATATTTTATGTATTATCTAATATTTCTTTCTTTGGACTTGCCTTATAAAATTCCAAATCTTCATATCAAAATACTTGCCTGAGAGAAAATTGCCATTGGCATAAGGTTTAAAAACATATACTTCCTGCATGGAAGAATTATCTAGAAAACTTAAATCTGTATGCTTTTTTGGTTTCTTTTTATCCCTTTCTCCCTTGGTATTTCTAAAGACATGCATTGCCTCTGTAATTCTTCCTTGGCTAGAAGGAATACAATAAAAACACAATACAAAATTAAATAGAAATGCAATATTAACATGTTTTCTATTAGCAAATGCCTCTCCTTCTGTTATAGAAAGTCAAATCATGTCTCTAGGTCTTCCACTGTCATCTTGCCATTCTCCTTAAAGACTCATTACATATGCTCTTTAGACATTTTGACATTGCATTGGCCAGAAACTTTTAGCACCTGTTTGACACTGGAGATATTCTTCAGCTTTCAGTGTCCTTGAATTTGGTCATGTGAGCTTCATGTTTGGTACAAAGAATGGGGACTTTCTATTTGTTTGCTTCTTTGATTACATCTAATATTATCCTCCATGTTTCTTGTTGTCTTTGTGTCTTAAAAAAGGAAAGAGAAGCAATAATAACCTTTGATTTCCTCCTTCCTTTTTTAACCAGAATTCATAACATCACATTTTCATTACATCTGAATTCACCTTCTCTAGCTGATGAGCTTCATAGAAAAATTCACAGACTAAGTAATCAATCAGAGAGATGCAGCTTAACTCATTTCTTTAACTGTTATTTTTTTAAAAATATATTTTATTGATTTTTTACAGAGAGGAAGAGGAGGGATAGAGAGTTAGAAACATCGATGAGAGAGAACCATCGATCAGCTGCCTCTTGCACACCCCTCACTGGGGATGTGCCCGCAACCAAGGTACATGCCCTTGACCGAAATCGAATCCGGGACCCTTCAGTCCACAGGCCGACGCTTTATCCACTGAGCCAAACCGGTTTCAGCTTTTTTTTTTCTTTTTCTTTTTTTTTTTCCCCCGCTGACATTTACATTTTCATAATCTTCCCTGCTATTACTTCCCATTTTATAGTCACTAGCCTTAAGTTCCTGTTATATTTATTTATCCCCTCCCTTTCCCCCCTTCATCTCTCTCTTTCTCCCTAATATTAAGAAGAATTCTGGCCAGTAGTCTCCAGAAATCTCCTTATGTTTTCCACTGTTCCTCTTTCACTTGATTTTTTGTACCTACTTATCCAATTTTCTACCGGATTTTGACTCTAATATACACAAATTAATTTTGAGGCAAAAACTGGCCAATGGACTTCTTCCTCGATCCCATTAATTTTATTGCAAATTTGTATTTACAGAATTTGGCTTTTTATATACTTTTAACCTGTTAAATAACAAAAATTTAACCTAGTGATGTTAAGGCTCAGATTGGTTTTATTCAGTGATTCATGAATTGGACAGCATCCCAACTAGCAAATAAAAGAAACCCACAGAGCTATGGACAAGGAAGGGTTTTTTAAAGGCGGAAGGGGGGTGGACAAGGGAAATTATTAGGAAAGAATGTGTTTTTTCAGGCAAGATTGCTCTCCAAAGGGGAACAGAAGCGACTATGGGCTGGGTTATCTCACTAATGCTGACCTATCCATGCCATGTTAACCTGGTTAAAAGTCATGTTCCTGGCAAGCTGAAACCGAAGCTAGCATAAGTACTGAATCTTGGTTTGCTGACATGGGGCCTAGCACAAATAATGCCATTTTGCATCTGTTGTCTTTTTTTTTTTTTTTTTTTTTTTTTAACATACTCAAAATATTTTCTTCATCAAAACATATAATGTTATAATTTTTTTGCCTTCATTTCCTGAAGACTATTTTCCAGCTCTCTTTTGCTTATCTTTGCTGTGATTTTAGTCTGCTGTCCCTTCTGTCTTTCCCCCCAGGGCCCTCACCTGCTCAGTGGGTCCTGGAAGCCCACTGTAGTTTTATTCTTATTGCTTTATCTCCCCCCTCCCCCCGACTTGTTGAAATGTCGCCCCTTCCCAGAGCAATGCCATGAGGGATCACTTGAAGAGGTGTCATCTTCACCCCTCCTGTGGCTCCTGGCCTGGATGAGGTGCCAACCTGAAGGGTTTCTTACCTGAGAACAACGGGGATAGCACTAATGCCGAGGACCTTCAGGACATGCAGTTATTTGTGTAGGAACCTATAGCGAAAGAATGTTTATCACATGAGAAATTATAAATGATTAACTTTAACACTGGCAATTAGACACATTTTACCACATTGGGTTGACACCGTCAAAATCCTAAAGGGCAAAACACCCAAACATTGTCCCCAAAAGCCTTGGGCAATGAGCTTCCTATGGAGGAAGGTGCAGAGAACCCGCTTGTGGTCCCTCCAGGCCGCTGGGCTCTGACTGCAGGTGCCTGCCAGCCTCTCCGTGTGCCTTCCCTGCCACTTTCTGCTGGCGTCCCCTGCCCAATGCCTTTTGTTTTTCAGCCAGAAGTTGCGGGGAAAGCAATGTTATTTTTGCTTCCTGGTGCTGTGCAAAAGGGCAGCTGGCTTAAGTAGCGGGCATAGTGGCAGCTGAATTTAGCACCTCTGCTCACATTTTCCTGAAGAGACCTCTCAACCCAAGCTCCCCCTGGCACTTCCATTATCTGACTCTCCCCTCAGCTGCAACTATGGCAGCAAGAAAGACACGGGTAGGTTATCTAGGATTTGTATTTTCTACATTAATGCTTCCTTCGATAACGAGGTTAATTGACAGTTGACAGTAATTGCTTTATGCGGGCACAAAGCACTCGATATGATTGTGTGACCCATGGACCTAATGCAGCTACTGCCTGGCCCCTCTCTAGCTCAAGGACGTATAAAAATAATGAAACGTTCCAATCAAAGATGATTGGAGGAAAGTTTGTTTCAGCATGACCTTGAGGAAATCAGGCAGGGTGGCTTAGTGAAGGTTGCCTGTGTCATCCTGCTCTGAGTAGATTCCCATAAATGCGAAGCCCGCCTGGTTAGTAACGCTAATGGCCGGAAACCACCACCGCTCCCAAAGCCTCGCCACTCACTTCGCAGGCATAACCCCTGGGAGGCTCTTCTTACCACGTGCAGTTTATTTCTGAACCCTGTCACCCTTTTAAAGGAGCATTACAAACAATTCTATGACATTATGCGGTCTGGAAGCACTGAAGCTTATTAGGAGCAATCAAACTAAGAATGTCTTTTGTCTCCTGTGAGTTTGTTGACTTTTCTGCTGGCAGATACTCTTCTAGTTAAGAGAATAGGCTAAGGTTTCAACACCCACCCACTTCCCCCCCAAAAAAAGAAAACTGATGAAGAAAGAGAGGAAGAGCAGGGGGGAAGAAGTATGATGAATATAAAATTGCCTCTCTTAAAAACCCTACAGGTGTCTCCAATTGCTATCCAAAGAAGCCCTTCCGATGACAAAGAACAGTTGTATGTTTTCCATTAATTCTAATCTACGAATCCCATTCAGTTGCAGCTGCTCAGTTTGCGTAATACATGTAATCCAATCTCATCACCTCCCCAGTACACCTTTGTCCCTAGTGCTACTTGGT